AGTGTTGATTACAACCAAGCACAAGCACGCATATATAGAAATCACTACGCACTAGCAAAGGCAACATCAAGCAGTTATTAAACTGTAATTCGGACTTCGCCATGTTGTCTTGGAAAACGGTTGTCAAACTCCTCTTGAATTTGGCTTCATCCGAGTCCTTCAAATAACTGCCTTCAATTTCCATGTCTGCCAATTGCTCCTGCTGACTCCTCTCGCGAGCGATCATGAACTCCCGCGTAGAATCATGAACGATCGTGTGGGAATTCCGTTTTCCCAAGCTTTACAGTTGTAAAACGGTTTTCACCGTTTTGTACCTGAAACGAAATCATCACGTTACGTGCACGACATTTCTGGCGAAGATTCATGTTCGCCACGTCAGAAAAGACAAGACTCGAATTTCAGTTAGTCAACTGAAATTTCGAGTCAATCCCGAGCACCCCTCGGGATCTCTCGGCACCCCCCGAAACACACGCGCACCCCTCAGGTGCGCAATCATGCACAATCAGCCGAAATGGTCGTGCTGTACAGTGCCAGGACGTGCGCCGTCCTGCGCACGCTCGCAACAGTGCGAGCCACACGCGTGGGCCCTCAGGACCCACACGCGAGATCTAGACCCACACGCGCGGTCCAGATTCTCGCGCACTTTTACCTTGACCAGCGCGATAAAGATCTCAACAATAAAAACACATGCTTTCCCCTCATGAACACAAAAGAAACATCATGACAGAAAACGCAAACGTCATGAACGAACACGATCGTGCATGATCGTACATGAACGGTCATGAACGTACACGACCAGCACGCGAATACTCATGAACACCTCGCGAAGGACCATGAGCACTCGCAACACTCAGAACTTCATGAAACACCACGAACACTCGTGAAAACTCGGAACTCCTCGCATGCACACTCGAAACGCACACGAACAGTCATGAACGCTCATGAATGCAACATCACATAAACACACATAACTTATGAACCGCTAAGGCGATTTACAAACCGTAAACACCAAAATGAAAAGCACACAAATGCGCATCACACAAAACACAAATTACCTTAAAAAAAATACCTTCAAATTTCACCTTGCTTGACGAATAGGCGACAGGTTGACGTGCAAATTACAATTTGCACTCAACAAACCCCCCCTCAACCTGACGACTATTCAACTCCCTCAACGTGCTTCTCTCTATCGACCCGCTCCACTGCATTGTCGATCCCAACTCCAGTTTTGGTAAAGGTTGTCTTATGCTCCCCCACACTTTCAGCTTTCATGACATCAGCTACTTGTAGCTTCGCCGAGGTAATATCATTACCACCCAAGGTTGTATCCGCTTCCTCCAAGCTCCTCTTCACCTCGGGTTCTCCCATCACCCCGGTTCCATCAGCTGCAATGCTTGCCACATTCAGCACCATCGTTTTCTCCTTCACAACTGCATCCTTCAGCTGCACCGAGACTTTAGGCTTCAGCTGCTCTCGAGTGCCACCCAAGTATACTCCCTTTTCCTTGTTCACAGCAGCACCTTTCACTTCACTCCCCCTGGATTCTGCACCCGTCTTCTTATCAGCACCGGATGCACCTTTCTTTTCAGCTGCTGCAAGTCGAGCTTTGACTTGGTGCAACTCCTGCACTAGCAGCTCCATAGTAGTTTTCAACTCCTTAATCGTCTCAGCAGCCACCGCAGCACACTCCCCCTTGCATCTGCAAACCCAATTGACCTTTTCAGGTACCACCTCACTCCATGGCACCACCGCCACATGCCACAGCTCATCGTGAAGATCCTTGTCCTCATGCAGGTCCCACAGCACACGATCACCGAGCTGCCCCTTGAATGTTTCAGCTCCATTAGTTGCTGTACACACGCCTGCAAGCCCCATCTTCCTAAGGGAAATTATATTCCCCTTCAACTCCGGCACCAAAAGCACATCTTCAAGAATCATCGGCTTCCCATCAGCTCCTTTGAATGCTGCCTTGCCGACCCCCAACACCTTCATCTTGTGCCCGCATCCCGAATTCATTTCAGTGATACAACTTTTCTTAATCTCATCTAGCAGGTCCGCCCTCGGGGTCATGTGACATGCCGCTCCGGAGTCTAAGATCCATGTGTTGAGGAGATGAGGCTCTGCTCCCTCCTTGGCAGATGCCTTCCCATCTCTCTTACTTCCTTGCACGTGGAAGAACTGTCCAGGAGCTCGCTCCCATGTATCATCCCCACCTGACGCGATCTCTGCTACATAACCAACGCCATGCGGTTGGTTCTTCTCACCATCCTCATATCCGGGAGTCCACCACTTGGGTCGCTTCCAGCACTTCACCCAAGTATGTCCCGGCTTCTTGCAATACCAACAGGTGCCCTTGAAACTGCGGTAGCCACCATGCTCCTCCTGTTCATCATCATCACTCTTGCTGCTCGGCTTCTTGTTGTCTCGCCCACTTCCGTGTTCTCCACGTTCATCACGTGCCCGGCCATTTCCCTTACGCCACCTGCTGCCTTACATGCCATAGCCGCCATCACCATCTTGACTCAGATTGAACTGCCGCCTCCTGAAATCCTCCTCCAAGATCTTGGTTCGCACCCACTCCAGGGTCCACGACTTCTCGTTTTGAGGGAGGCTCAGCCCACTTGTAAATTGCAGCCAAGACTCGGGTAGTAGTGACAGCATCCGCATGCACTTCGTCTGCTCCGGATACGTGATGCCCGCAATCTGCAACTTCGCATACAACTCTCGCATCTTATCGAGAACCGGTTGAATCGGCTCCCCCTCACGCAGACGCAATGCCGCCAATTCACGCTCCAGCATAAGCGTTGCAACCACCGAGGTAGGCGCATGCAATTCCTTTAGCACCTTCCAAGCTCGTGGTCCACAATCAGCTTCTTCCAGCAGGTGCATCACGTGTGACCGCTGGTTCAGCTCCAAGCTTTGTGAGAGAAGGTAGTAGCCGGCCGTTGCACGCTCGTCCCATTCCTCTTGCAGGTTCGGGTCGTCCGGCCTCTTCTCCTTGCCCGTCATCAGTTTCAACGAGCCAACTTGGCATTTTCCACGCCCAATCGTCGTATCCATTGCCGTTGAACTTGTCGACGACAAAGTTCTTGAGCACGTCCTTCAATAGTGAGCCCGGGCTGGCGCGCACTCTCCTTGGCGTTGAACCACCCGTATCTTGGACTCCGCTATTAGCTCGTGCAAGAGAACCTTCATTGTCGCCCGACGCCATGTTGTTCTAACGGCAATCCTTCGAACAACAGCTCTGATACCACGTGTTGACTACTATATGGGATCTAGAACCTCTAAGCACGCCTTTAATACACACTAGTTAGTCCCCACGGGGTCACCTCCAAGGGTCCTCGGGTGCGTGGCAAAGCCAGCCCCTAACCAAGGGTCCGTGTTTGTCGAGGGACGTACTAAGTGTAAATTCAATCACGTGCACTAGAACGCTCCCAAGCTCGTTTGCGCAGCGTTGACGACGAATTGGCTCGTATGCAGAAGTAGCTCTTCACGTCAATACGATGATAGAGCAATTTTCATTCAGAAAGTGTTGATTACAACCAAGCACAAGCACGCATATATAGAAATCACTACGCACTAGCAAAGGCAACATCAAGCAGTTATTAAACTGTAATTCGGACTTCGCCATGTTGTCTTGAAAAACGGTTGTCAAACTCCTCTTGAATTTGGCTTCATCCGAGTCCTTCAAATAACTGCCTTCAATTTCCATGTCTGCCAATTGCTCCTGCTGACTCCTCTCGCGAGCGATCATGAACTCCCGCGTAGAATCATGAACGATCGTGTGGGAATTCCGTTTCCCCAAGCTTTACAGTTGTAAAACGGTTTTCACCGTTTTGTACCTGAAACGAAATCATCACGTTACGTGCACGACATTTCTGGCGAAGATTCATGTTCGCCACGTCAGAAAAGACAAGACTCGAATTTCAGTTAGTCAACTGAAATTTCGAGTCAATCCCGAGCACCCCTCGGGATCTCTCGGCACCCCCCGAAACACACGCGCACCCCTCAGGTGCGCAATCATGCACAATCAGCCGAAATGGTCGTGCTGTACAGTGCCAGGACGTGCGCCGTCCTGCGCACGCTCGCAACAGTGCGAGCCACACGCGTGGGCCCTCAGGACCCACACTCGAGATCTAGACCCACACGCGCGGTCCAGATTCTCGCGCACTTTTACTTTGACCAGCGCGATAAAGATCTCAACATTAAAAACACTCGCTTTCCCCTCATGAACACAAAAGAAAATTCATGACAGAAAACGCAAACGTCATGAACGAACATGATCGTGCATGATCGTACATGAACGGTCATGAACGTACACGACCAGCACGCGAATACTCATGAACACCTCGCGAAGGACCATGAGCACTCGCAACACTCAGAACTTCATGAAACACCACGAACACTCATGAAAACTCGGAACTCCTCGCATGCACACTCGAAACGCACACGAACAGTCATGAACGCTCATGAATGCAACATCACAGAAACACACATAACTTATGAACCGCTAAGGCGATTTACAAACCGTAAACACCAAAATGAAAAGCACACAAATGCGCATCACACAAAACACAAATTACATTCAAACAAATACCTTCAAATTTCACCTTGCTTGACGAATAGGCGACAGGTTGACGTGCAAATTACAATTTGCACTCAACAATATCCGGGAGAATACGGTAATCCACATTTCTTCTTACGAATGTGATTAAGTTATGATATGTCTTCCATCCGGCCGCAGCCAATAAGCCACCCACCCCAACTCCATATGAACTACAATACCTACAGGGGGCTTTCATAGCGATGCGAGAATTAGTCTACCGTACCATCACAAGCCAAATGTGTTGTATGCCGTTACTGAGACACATCACTTCAGGAAGGACTAGAAGAGTCATCCACGGTAAGCACGTCTTTAAAAAATCTTGACCACATTAGGAGCCTCGCAAAGTTTTGAATCGCGTTGCTTGCTCGCTCTCTACACCAGTGTCACCAATTTAATGCCTACTCCTATCTTCACTCACTCTTTCTTTTCACGTCTCACTTCTCATCCCCTTGCTCTCCTTTCCTCACCCCACTTGTCCTGTCTCCTTCCTCCTCGTCCATCCCCTCGCTCCTTACTCTCTTCAATTCCACCTCTCCTCTCTTGTCTCACCCCCCGGGGCACATCCTCCCAATCATCCACCCTCACGCTCCTCTCTCCTTCATGCCGAATGCCATGCCCTTCCCTGCTGTGCCTCATGCTGTCCCTGCTCTCATCTCTGATCCTCCGCCCCTCAAAGCTCTCTTCTGTCCTTGTATATTTTTCCTCCCTGCTCTCCTCCCTGCTCCTTTTTACCTCCCTGTCCTCGTCTCTGCACCTCCGCTCACTATCACGCCACTTTGTCGACTCATGCCCGCCTGCTTCCCTCCTCTCACTCCTCCCCTTCTCCCTCGCTGGACTCACAACTTCATCCCTTGAATACCCACTATGCCTTCCCCTTCTGCCTCCCTCCTCATGCTCCTCTTCATCCTTCCCTCTTCTCCCCTCTCCACCCCTCACTCTCATTCCTCCCTCTTCGTCTCTCCTCTTCCTGTCAACCCCTCGTCCTCTCACGGTCCTCCTCCCTCCAGCGGTACTCCTCTCTGCCATGCCCATCGTCCCCACGCCGCCTGTCCCCACTGCCTGCATCGGGCCTCCCTCGCCTCTCCTCCATTTGTCCCCGATGCTCCTCCTCGTCGCTGTCAGAAGCCCCGCCACGCCCTCTCTTCCCATCGTCCACCCTCACAGATTTGACACCTCTCCTCCCCCTCATCATTTCCTCCTCATGCTCTCTATCCAATTCTACGTCTCTCCTTTCCCACTTCTTCCTTCCCTCAGCTTCCTTCACACTCTTCTCGTCCTCCTTCCGCTGTCTTCCCTTCTCTGCATCCCTCTCCCTCCTCACACCCCCCCTCTCCTCTTCTGCCTCTCCACCATGGCTCGCTCCTCTCTCTCCCTCTCCTTCCGCATCCCACCTCCTCTTCCTCTCTCTCTTTCCATCCCTCCTCGGACTCGCACCACGTGCAGCTCCTTCCTCTCCTCCACCCCCTCGCTCCTCTCTCCCTGCAGTCACCCAAGCAGCAATCGCCCGGGCGCGAGCAAGGGCGTCGGCAGTGAGAGCAGCCACATCCACGCTGCCAGCAGCACTTTCTCTACGCTTCGTTCCCTCGCCCTCCCCCCTCCTCTTCGCCACCCCTGCATGCACACTCCTCCGCCCTTCTCCCTCTGCCCTACCACCGCCCTCCTCGTCCCCGTCAAACACAAGCTCGTAGCTGCCAGGCCAAGGTGCGAGGGACATAGAGGAGGGTGCGAGGGACAGAGGGAAGGGTGGTACAGAGGAGGAGCATTAGTGAGCATGGCCGAGCTGCTGGGAATGTTAAAGCAAATGATGCAAGGAGTAGTGATTGCAAGTGTCAACGCGTGTGCGGAGAAGGCACCCAGCTTCCACCACCTCACTGCACCTGCCCCACCCTTGCGCCTCCACCCAGCACCGCCCATCTCCACCTTGGCTTCTGCCACCCTTGCTGCCTTGTCAACGCATCAACTGGCACCTCCTTGATGCACTGCCTCAAATCTTGCTTTGCTCGCCTCACCTATTGCAGTGCTAGTCTTACCTCTTGTGCTGCTCACCTCTTGCCCTGCTCGCCCCGCTGCCCGTGCCCCGACTCCTTCAGCTCAAGCCGCCTCTGCCCGCCCTGCCCCCCCTCTGCCTCCTCCTCGTCCTCCTCCCCATCCCCACCCATCCCCCCTCTCCCTCCTCCCGCATTCGGACACTCCCTCGCCATGCGCCCATCCTCCCCGCAGCTAAAGCACGACCGCATGCCGCCGCGACCACCACCTCCACCCCTCCCCCGTCCACCTCCTCTCCCTCCCCTCCCGCCACCAGTAGCAGCGCCAGCAGCATCAGCAGCATGGGCGGAGTCGGAGGTGCCGAAGCGGCGGAAGCGCGACCAGAGGCGGCCGACGCTCTGGCTGAAGTCCACGTGCACGCGGCGGTCGTCGATCAGCACGCCGTCCATCTGCACCCCGCGGGGGACAGTGGGCGTGTGGCGGACAGGGGGTTGGAAGGAGGGGGAAAGAAAGGATATGGGTGGGGGCTTTGAGTGCTTCCGCTGGGTTGTCCATGTGAAGTTTGTTGCTGGTAAAGATGGTGGAGAGCACAATTGCAATGAGCAAGCACAATCCACAATTGCAATTGCAAACACGGAGTGGCCATGAATTCATCTTTATTCGAACAATATATACGAGCATGGAGCAAGGTGCAGTGAGCAGGGAGCAAGGCAAGCAGAACGGAGCACGGAGCAATGAGCACGGAGCAATGAGCACGGATCAATGAGCACGGAGCAATGAGCACGGAGCAATGAGCACGGAGCAATGAGCACGGAGCAATGAGCACGGAGCAATGAGCACGGAGCATTGAGCACGGAGCAATGAGCACGGAGCAATGAGCACGGAGCAATGAGCACGGAGCAATGAGCACGGAGCAATGAGCACGGAGCAATGAGCACGGAGCAATGAGCACGGAGCAATGAGCACGGAGCAATGAGCACGGAGCAATGAGCACGGAGCAATGAGCACGGATCAATGAGCACGGAGCAATGAGCACGGAGCAATGAGCACGGAGCAATGAGCACGGAGCAATGAGCACGGAGCAATGAGCACGGAGCAATGAGCACGGAGCAATGAGCACGGAGCAATGAGCACGGAGCAATGAGCACGGAGCAATGAGCACGGAGCAATGAGCACGGAGCAATGAGCACGGAGCAATGAGCAATGAGTGGCGGTGCATTCACCTTAAAGTAAGCCGCCTCACACGCCTCCTTTGTCTCAAACTCTGCATGCACGCATCGAGGACACGGAGGGGCGAGGGGGAGGGAGGCAAAGAAGGGAGGGGGGAAATAAACAATGAGGAGAAGAGGGGAAGGAAAAGAAGGGAAGAGAAGAGAAGAGGTAACAATGGAGCAGAAGTGGAAAAGGGGGAGGGAAGGGAGAGAAGGGTGGGTTTTGAAGGGAGAGAAGAAAGGAGAGGGAAGGAGGGAGAGATGAAGTGGCACCGATGGCAAGGCACTGCCTCATCGCCGGTTCATATACAACAGCATCGCCACCTTAACCCATCAGCCCCATCAGCCATCATCCCGCCCCATCAGCCATCATCCCGCCCCATCAGCCATCATCCCGCCCCATCAGCCATCATCCCGCCCCATCAGCCATCATCCCGCCCCATGACCACCACCCCATCACCACGGCCCGTCATCCCGCACCAATGAAGCCGTAGCAGAGGCTGTCGCCCGTCTTCTGGTCTCGAATGATGTCCGCCCTGCACGGTGCAGTGCCATGTGGGGGGGTGGGATGTGATAAAGAGGGGTGGGCAGGCACAGCGGCGATGCACAATGGAGCAGTTAGTGAATGGGATGCTCTGGCAGTGCAGGGCAATGCATGAGTGTCCTGGCGTCACATGGGACGCAGCAGCGCAAGTTGTTCAACAACCCAACAACGCTGGGAAAACCAGCAGGCGAGGTGTGGTATCGAAGCAATGGAATGAAAGAGCAGGGGAGTGGAAGGAAGGGGAGGAACTCACGAGAGGACCTTGCCGAATCGAGAGAAGATAATCTCCAAGTCGTCGTCCTGCGCCCATGCACCGCAGCCATGACGCCCATGCACGTGATGCCAGGCATGCACGTGATGCCAGGCATGGATGTGATGCCATGCATGTGATGCCAGGCATGTGATGCCATGCATGTGATGCCATGCATGTGATGCCATGCATGTGATGCCATGATGCATGTGATGCCATGGCATATGTCATACATCACCGCACATGTGCAAATGTGAAGCAAGTGAAAAGAGTGAGAGAGAAGAGAGAGAAGATATTGCAGAACATGGCAGAAAGGAGTGACCTGAGTGACGGGTGAGAGTGAATTGTCAGGAGTGACTTGAACACACCTGAGTGACGGGTGAGAGTGAATTGTCAGGAGTGACTGGAACACACCTGGGTGACGGGGTTGAGCTTGCAGATGAAGAGCACATTCTCGGGCGGCTTGAACTCCGCCTCGGGCAGATCGCCTATCTGGTGGGGTGAGGAGAGAGGACCACCGCAGGGGGCAAGGTGGGGATGGAGTGAGCCTAGTGAGGGACAGAAGCCACCTCACATTCCACCACATCCCCCACTCTCTCACCATCTCAGCACCACTTGTGACAAATCTTGAGATGAACCGATGGTTTGATTAGGAAGTGTGTGGGTTTACATAGTTGAGCTAGGATGGACGTTTGGTTGAGAACCTTGCCAACATGATTGGCCCCCACCAATAAGTTGGGTTGAGGAGTTATTGGGGGACCAATAATGTTCACCAAAGTGGGTCAACATTATTTGGAGGGCCAATAATCTCCCAACCCAGCCTTGGGGCCCCAAAAATTGGGCCAAAGTTGGGTTCCAACCCCAAACTAGGGTTAATCCTATTTGTACACCCAAACTAGGTTTGGGTGTCTATCTCTAACCTAAGCTTATGAGATAGATGCAGGTTACAATAAAGATGATAATCTGACACCACTCTCACCATCTCAACACCACTCTCAACCGCTCTCACCATCTCCAGCACCACGCCTCTGGACTGTGCCTCTCTGCGGCGCACGTCCCTCTCCACCTCGTCCGCCGCCCGCCCCTCGTCCATGGGCACCCAGTCGTCCTCCAACCTCACGTCCGAGCCCTGCCCGCCGCATGCACAGGAAAATTGGGAGTTGGTAGAGGGTGCAGCATACGGGGGGGAACAGAAGCTGTTGTAATTTCATATTTCATACAACATACATAGGTTAGAATTAGATGTGTAGCACATTTATAAATTGGGGGGTTGTTTAGTGTACCCTCCAACCACATTTTGTGATTGGTTGGGATTAGTCCTTAGCTCAACCAATCCCAACCAGCACACATTTGTGGTTGTTTGCGCCACAAGCAAGCTCACCCATTGGCCAACTTATTGGACGTCAGCAAAGCGAAATAGCGGCAAAGTGGTTTCAGCAGAGCGTTCACAACAGATGGCGCAGCAGGCAAGTGACATGAGCAGGTGTATGAACAGGCAGCTTACAACACCCGGGAGTAGTGGGGGAAGGCGGAGGAAGGGAGGGCTCATAGCAGCGGAAGGACGCGGGGTTGGCGGGGAGGGAGGGGGGGAAGGGCTCACAGCAGCGGGGGGCGGCATGGGTGGGGATGCATCGGGGATGAGGTCAGCGAGTCCCGGTGGGTCGTCAAATGGGTCGTCCAACACATGCACTCGGCGTATGCTGGTGGGGGAGGAGGCGGGGGAGAGGCGGCAATTGGGGACCTGATGAGGTGACTGATGAGTTGTCACGAACCACGGAGGCGCAGCACAGACGACCAGCTGTGTGCATGGTAGCGCCCTGTAACCATCAGCTGTGTGCATGCTAGCAGCCCTGCAACGGCCATCAGCGGGATTCCCAGAGAAACTGGCGCGTACCGGATGTTCTTGAAGGGGCGTACCGGATGTTCTTGAAGGGGCGTACCGGATGTTCTTGAAGGGGCGGCCTTTGTCGTCCACGAAGGCCTCGTTGATGCGCTGCAGCGTGTCCAACCCCTCCGCCACCTCGCCAAATATCTGATGCCACGCCATGCCGTGCCGCGCCGTGCCGTGCCATGCACATGAGAGATGAAGAAGATATGCAAGAGTGCGGTGAGATGTGGCGTGGCAGAGCCACATAAGCATGCCGTACCATGCCTGCCATGCAGAGACACCATGCATGTGGTGCCATGCAGGTGCAACGAGTGCTGGGCAGCGAGGAGAAAAAAACATAACTAATCTTGATAATCAGATGAGAGTGAGCAAGTGAGTGTCAGCATATGCTGGCGTCATGGTCTCACCGTGTGCTTGCCATCGAGTGAGTCGAGCCCAGCCCGCGTGGTGATGTAGAACTGGGGGGGGGGATGCCAGCAGGGGACTCCACCAGGGGAGGGAGAAAAGAGGGGGGAGAGCGTAAAAGGAGGGCGTGGGAGATGCAAGGATGAATCATTACGAGTCGAGACTGAGATTTGCTAATCCTGAGCTGGCCCAGCGTGTGGGAAACGGGGCTGTGGGCAAACACGAGAAAACAAAAGAAAGCACGTGGGCTTACTTCCTGATCGAATGGATTTAGCCTGCGAAGCGGTGCGTCTAGTCGTGTGGGTGCGGGAGGTAAATTTGCAGGGTGAAACTGGGATTCTGAGCCTCTTTGCAATAATATGTGGAGCTGGGTTAAGCAAAGTGCCTATGAGCGTGCGTGTGCATGGGAGGGAGAGACTGTAAGAAGTGGAGGGAAACGGAGACTACCAGGCCTGCAAGAATTCAGTAGGGAAATATGAGAACTCGCCTGAGAGGCGTTGAGGGTCACCTGAGAGGCGTTGAGGTTGGTGTCGCCACTGGCCATGGCGACCACCCCCACCTTGTCGTGCTTCAGCCCCGCCCGGATCTCATCCTCAAAGAACCGCGCCTGCTCTCCGTACAGGAACCTGCCATTCGGGTGGGGAGGGGGGTGAGGAGGAATTGGGGTTTGGGGTTTGGGCACGGAGCGCAGCAGGGAGGGGAGTGGGTGTGTGGTGTGGCGCGACAACCGGCTGTGGTGCAGGAACCTCGCCAACCCGTGCCCCTCCCACCCACACTTGAGCATGGTACTCAACTCCGGTTTGGCTGGATTCAAACAACCGGTCATTTTTGTGAATGGGTTGGGTTAAACTGATTGCGTCAGTCTGACTTGAGGTGCCGTGTCTGGCCGCCATCAAACATCGGCCCATTTGACGCGCGTTAGGTCGCGTAGCGCCAAACCAACACAGGCTGGCGGAAGCCTGGAGAATTATCACAGGGGCGTATCTCTGGTTCGGGTCATGAGCACTGTTCCGGGCATCCGGAAATTGCGCATGACCCGAAGTGGGCTGCCGAGCCGCGCGCGGCCCCAGCTTTGGGTCAATGTGCAGGTGTTGGGCGACTGACGTGCACGACCCACCCCCAACCAATCACCTGGTCGTGCGATTCTGGTTTTACTGCCATCTCTTAGGCGGTCGTCAGTCGAGTGTCACAAGTGGGCAATGTCCCACGCCCTACACCTCTGCACCCAACCACTCGGCAAATTGACCCCAGTGGACCTCGATGTGCCTAACATTTCCCGCGTCGCGCTCCCAACATTTGGGGATTTAGGCCGGGAATTTTTACGATTGTGTTTTTTCCGGTGGGTGTCGCTAATGGTCTGTCGAACTGTTTTGGCAACCCTCCATTGGATGCGACTGTTGTGGCGGGCGTGATTTTGGCGCGAAAACCCACGCGGCAATTTGGGGGTCGCATGCGTTCCGAGGAGCCAAAGTGGCGTTTTATGTTGTTTGGGTCATCCACAAATCGCGCATGCCCGGAACAGTGCTCATGACCCAAACCAGAGATACGTCCTTAGGGCATTTGTAGGAGCGATGATGTGGATTTTAAGGCCAGAATCGTGAGTGGTTAGGATTTGACGCGCACATCCGCACAAAATACTATTCCTGGACCAAACCAAACCGTTTCAGATCAAACTGCATACGGTTCGACCCGGCCTGGAATGGAAAAGGTTCGACCACAGGCGAACGCAAACTTTGAACCCCCACCCACCAACTTGATTGAACCGAACGGGTTTCGACTAATTGTCCAGCACAACTCGGTTGGAATAACGCCGGTTGGGGCTCTTCTCACCGCCGCGACCTGACGTGCACATGGTGTCGCGTCACCACCCCTCGCCCCTCACACCCCTCGCCCCTCACACCCCTCGCCCCACACACCCCTCGCCCCACACACCCCTCGCCCCACACACCCCCAGCCCCCCCACGCACTTGTAAACGGAGTCGCCGCCAGCGCCAGTGGCGGTGGGGTCGCCCGTCTGCACGATGAAGTCGCGCTGCACGCGGTGGAAGAGGCAGTGGTGGTAGTACTTCATCCTGGGGGGGGGGGAGGGGGAGGGTGAGGGGGGGAGGGGGATGGGCATAGGCATGGCGCGGCGTGACAGCAGAGGTTCTGGAGGGATAGTTCCGAGGGCAGGGGCAGGGGGGGAGGTTGCAAGAGCCGTAGCAAAGAACTCGAGGCACTTCATCCATTTCGCGCGTCATTGAACGGTGAAGGTATGTGAGGGGCGACGCGAGAAGGGCGGGGAGGAGGGGAGGTGCTTTGGGTTGGCAGGGGGAGGGCGCGAGCGCGACTGACTTGGCGAGTTTGAGGAAGTTCTTAGTGGCGAGCGGGCAGAGGTCCGTGTGCAGGTCGATCACCATCTCGCCCACGCTCGTCTCCACCAGCACCGCCATCCGCCCCCTCCGCTACCTGCTGCTCTCTTCCAGTCGTCGAAACAGGCCTGCGGGAGGCGCGGCGCGGCAGCAAGAGAGAGAGTCAGCAGACGAGGAGAGTGCTGACCCTTCGTGTCAGCTTCAGGCGCTCACACTGAAAGCGCGCAGAGAGAGCGCGGAGGGAGAGCGCGGAGGGAGAGCGCGATGAGTGGGGAAAGTGGAGTGGCGAGCGAATACTTTTCCGAAGCCACCGCTTCACTCTGGATCATCTATCCACGGGCCACCGCTTCACTCTGGATCATCTATCCACGGGCCACCGCTTCACTCTGGATCATCTATCCACGGGCCACCGCTTCACTCTGGATCATCTATCCACGGGCCACCGCTTCACTCTGGATCATCTATCCACGGGCCACCGCTTCACTCTGGATCATCTATCCACGGGCCACCGCGTCACTCTGGATCATCTATCCACGGGCCTTACTGACTCAAGCCGTGGGAGGTTGAGCGAGAGCGGACGGGGATTGGTGGGACGCGATGCAGCGCGTGAGGCGGCCGACGCGCGGAGAAGATCGGGGTGGTGGCGCGGCGAGGAGCGCGTGCGGTGGGGTGAGAGAGGTTGGGCGGCAGGCAGATGGCAATCGAGGCACGGGAAGGCCTGTTTGGAAATTAGGGCAAAAGAACGTGTTGGGGCAGGGGACCTCGCGAAAAATATAGCGAACGTGTACCATGTGATTCTTCTGCTCAACTCGCTCAAACCACTTCGCCAACCAAAATTTGCCTCGGGTTACTCAATTTCGTTGATACTCCGCCGTACCCACATCACATTTCGTTCCAACACCCCAGCACAGCCACCACTGCCCAGTCGACTTCCGCATGGCCTCTCTCTCTCTCGCACCGCCGCTTCGCGCCTTCCATTCTGCCCCCTGCGCTGCACCGCTGTGCGCCACGCGGCCCTTGCGGCCTCGACCATTTCTTCGTCGCCAGTCGCAGCTTGTCGTACGCGCGTCGCATGGCGAACGACCCGCCGACGCGGCAAGCGACAGTCCGCCAGGCGAGTCGCAGCAGCGCGCCTTCGCCGCCGCCGGCACGGCCGCTCTGATTGGCGGCGACCCGCAGGCCGCCGCCGATGCTGCAGCCGCCGCCGCCCGTGAGGATGACTCGGCGGACCCCGCCACTGGCGGCGCGCGCGTGCCCGGCGGCGATGGTGCCTCCGCGGGTCTCGCGCTCATCCTCTCCCACCAGCGGCGGTGGACGTGGCGCGGCGCCAGCATCAACTACTGCGACATTCCGCCCCGCGCCGGCGGCGAGGGCGCGGGGGAGAGCGGCGAGGAGGGGTGGCGGGGGAGAGAGGACGCGCCCGCCGTGGTGTTGGTGCACGGCTTCGGCGCTTCCATCGGCCACTGGCGCAGGTGAGGGGCCCTGGCGCAGGTGAGGGGCACTGGCGCAGGTGAGGGGCACTGGCGCAGGTGAGGGGCACTGGCGCAGGTGAGGGGCACTGGCGCAGGTGAGGGGCACTGGCGCAGGTGAGGGGCACTGGCGCAGGTGAGGGCCACTGGCGCAGGTGAGGGGCACTGGCGCAGGTGAGGGGCACTGGCGCAGGTGAGGGCCACTGGCGCAGGTGAGGGGCACTGGCGCAGGTGAGGGGCACTGGCGCAGGTGAGGGGCGGCGCAGGTGAGGTGCTACCATGCTCCGCCTTCCTCCACTCCACCTCCTCTTCTTCCCCGCTTCTCCCCCTCTCCCTCCGCTCACTGGCCCGCCTTGCCTCCCTTCCCTTGGCAGGACGGCGGAGGCGGTGGCGGGGGCGGGCATGAGGGTGGTGGCGCTGGACCTGCTGGGGCTGGGCGCGTCTGACAAGCCGCACGGCGGGGACTACACCATCGAGGCGTGGGGGCAGGTGAGGGGGAGAAGGTGAGTAGTGGGCGCAGGTGAGGGGGAGAAGGTGAGTAGTGGGCGCAGGTGAGGGGGGGAGAAGGTGAGTAGTGGGCGCAGGTGAGGGGGGGAGAAGGTGAGTAGTGGGCGCAGGTGAGGGGGGGAGAAGGTGAGTAGTGGGCGCAGGTGAGGGGGAGAAGGTGAGTAGTGGGCGCAGGTGAGGGGGGGGAGAAGGTGAGTAGTGGGCGCAGGTGAGGGGGGGAGAAGGTGAGTAGTGGGCGCAGGTGAGGGGGGGAGAAGGTGAGTAGTGGGCGCAGGTGAGGGGGAGAAGGTGAGTAGTGGGCGCAGGTGAGGGGGAGAAAGTGAGTAGTGGGCGCAGGTGAGGGGGAGAAGGTGAGTAGTGGGCGCAGGTGAGGGGGAGAAGGTGAGTAGTGGGCGCAGGTGAGGGGGGGAGAAGGTGAGTAGTGGGCGCAGGTGAGGGGGAGAAGGTGAGTAGTGGGCGCAGGTGAGGGGGAGAAGGTGAGTAGTGGGCGCAGGTGAGGGGGAGAAGGTGAGTAGTGGGCGCAGGTGAGGGGGAGAAGGTGAGTAGTGGGCGCAGGTGAGGGGGAGAAGGTGAGTAGTGGGCGCAGGTGAGGCGCTGCATGGCTGCTTCCAACTCGCTCCTCGCGCATGCCATGCCTACCCTCCCTTGCCTGCCCTTCCATCCCATGCTTTCGCCCCATGGTCACCAACCATTCTCCCCCCCCCATCCCCCCGTACCAGCCCGCCCATACCCGCCCTCTCATACCCGCCGTCTCATACCCGCCCTCTCATACCCGCCGTCTCATACCCGCCCTCTCATACCCGCCGTCTCATACCCGCCCTCTCATACCCGCCGTCTCATACCCGCCCTCTCATACCCGCCGTCTCATACCCGCCCTCTCATACCCGCCCTCTCATACCCGCCGTCTCATACCCGCCCTCTCATACCCGCCGTCTCATACCCGCCCTCTCATACCCGCCGTCTCATACCCGCCGTCTCATACCCGCCGTCTCATACCCGCCGTCTCATACCCGCCGTCTCATACCCGCCGTCTCATACCCGCCGTCTCATACCCGCCGTCTCATACCCGCCGTCTCATGCCTGTCCTCCTAGCAGATGCTGCAGGATTTCGTATCCGAAGTGGTGCGGTGCAGAGTGGTGCTGGTGGGCAACTCCATCGGCAGCCTCGTTGCGCTTACTGCTGCTGCAGGTGTGCTCTCCTCATTCCTCTCCTCCCTCTCCCCTGCAGGTTTGTTAGGGTTTCCTTGCCCTGCCCCAACGGCCCTTGTCACCAAGAGCAGGTACAGCTGAAGTCGTGCGAGTCGAGGGCTGGAAGGTGCTCCCACGGCCAGTGGAACGCGAGGAGAACCCAGGCTGGGAGGACAGGGGGTATGGGGGGGGGATCTGTCAGGGGAGGCGGAGCACGAGGGGGTGGAAAAGGGGGCGGGTGGTTGGGGAAGGAAGGAAGGCCGTTGGGGTGCTCTAGAATGAGGTGGGCGGAGGGGGGGAGGTTGCAACGTCTAGGGACGAGGGAGGTGGTAGAGGCGCAACTGCACGCTAAGGGACGAGGGGGATGGCGGCATGACGAGGCACGCGAGACACGAGGACTGGGAGATACAAGAACCTGAGTTGCCCTCATAGCATAGGAGGGGGTATACACTGTTGCATGAGAAAGGGGGGGCGGTTGGGTTCTTGGCCATCATTGTTCGCCCCCACCAAGAGGTTGTGTTGGAGTCTTGGGGGTTCCCAACAGTCTTGGGGGTTCCCAACAGTCTTGGGGGTTCCCAACAGTCTTGGGGGTTCCCAACAGTCTTGGGGGTTCCCAACAGTCTTGGGGGTTCCCAACAGTCTTGGGGGTTCCCAACAGTCTTGGGGGTTCCCAACAGTCTTGGGGGTTCCCAACAGTCTTGGGGGTTCCCAACAGTCTTGGGGGTTCCCAACAGTCTTGGGGGTTCCCAACAGTCTTGGGGGTTCCCAACAGTCTTGGGGGTTCCCAACAGTCTTGGGGGTTCCCAACAGTCTTGGGGGTTCCCAACAGTCTTGGGGGTTCCCAACAGTCTTGGGGGTTCCCAACAGTCTTGGGGGTTCCCAACAGTCTTGGGGGTTCCCAACAGTCTTGGGGGTTCCCAACAGTCTTGGGGGTTCCCAACAGTCTTGGGCAAAGTTGAGCCACGAGTATCAAGTCTCCCTCCAATAATCTTCCAACCCAACTGTGGGAGCCAAATTACTGGTCAAGGTTGAGTTCGCAAACCCAAGCTAGAATAATCCTTGGTGATGCACCAAGCTAAGTCTCGTTGCCTAATCTTCCCGTGCCAGTTAAGCAGGGCGATGACACACAGGTCAGATGTGTGGGGTGGGGTGTGTGGGAGGCTCGTCAGCACTTCACATATGCGTTCCGTTACTCATCCCATGCCACATCAGCACCTCACGTGTGCCTTGTGTTCCTCATCCCGTGCCGTACGTCCTCGCTCGCACTTACCACTCTCACCCCTCACCACCCCTCACCACCCACCGCCCTGTGTGCCGTGTGCAGCGCTGCCGGGCGAGGAGGTGGCGGGGGTGGTGCTGCTCAACTGTGCGGGCGGGCTGAACAACAAGGCCATAGAGGACGACTGGCGCATCCGCCTGGCGCTGCCCCTCTTCCTCCTCATCGACTGGCTTCTCTCCTTCCCTCCCTTAGCCACTGCCATCTTCAACCGCGTCCGCACCAGGTCAGCCTTGTCCGCACCAGGTCAGCCTTGTCTGCACCAGGTCAGCCTTGTCCGCACCAGGTCAGCCTTGTCCGCACCAGGTCAGCCTTCCTCTGCTGCTTTGCCAGTTTACCATCTTCTTTTGCCAGCCGCCCATCCATTCCACTTCCCATCCACTCCCCCTCACAGATCACCCCTTGTATTGTCCCTCACAGATCACCCCTTGTATTGTCCCTCACAGATCACCCCTTGTATTGTCCCTCATTCCAAGTCCGTCCACATTCGCTCTCTTCTCCCCCCCCCTCCCTCCCCCCCCTTCCTCTTCCCCCCGCCTCCCTCTCTCCCCTGAGGCAGGGACAACGTGGCATCGGTGCTGCGAGCCGTGTACAGCAACCCCGATGCCGTCGATGGCGAGCTCGTGCAGGTCATGCTCATGCTCATGCTCATGCTCATGCTCATGCTCATGCTCATGCTCATGCTGGTGCTGATGCTGGTGCTCATGCTCATGCTCATGCTCATGCTCATGCTCATGCTCATGCTCATGCTCGTGCTCATGCTCATGCTCATGCTCATGCTGATGCTGATGCTGGTGCTGATACTGGTGCTGATGCTGATGCTGATGCTGATGCTGATGCTGATGCTGGTGCTGATGCTGATGCTGATGCTGTCGGTGTTGGTGTTGGTGATGGTGCAGGTGATGCTGAGCTCGTGCAGGTGATGCTGATGCTGAATTTGACATGGATAGCCATGATGATGGTGGTGCCATGGCGAGCTGGTGCAGGTGATGGTCATAATGGTGGTGATGCGGACATGCATGCTTTGGTGCTTCCTCAGGAAGTTCATAGTGTCAACCAATCCACACATCGCATCGTGCACCCACCTCTCAGCTCATCTGCCTAGGCACGGGACACAACTCGTGCTGCGTGTGCTACCTAACCGTTGTGCACCCCTCGCCGTGCCTCCCCCTGCCCTCTCAGCTCATATGTGCGCCAGCAGAGGACCCCGGGGCGCTGCAGGTGTTCATAGCGGTGCTCACGGGCCCGCCTGGGCCGCGCCCGGAGCACCTGCTGCCACGCATCTCAGCACCGCTGCTGCTGCTGTGGGGCGAGCAGGACCCCTTCACACCGCTCGATGGCCCCGTGGGGCGCTTCTTCTCGCACCTGCCGCAGCACCGCCCCCTCACCACCATGCTCACGCTCCCCCTGTGCGGCCACTGCCCCCACGACGACCAGCCGGTCGCCGTGCACCAAGCGCTGCTGCCATGGCTGGCCCAGCTCGGCAGCACCAAGTAGTGCATCCACTGTGCTTCCAACTGCATGCATAGGCGCGCTTGACAGCACAAGTGGTGTGGCATGACAGTTGCCTATTGCATAGAAGAAACCCTAGTAGGGTGTACTGGTAAATGCCCCGCAGCAGGGGTAAAATAACTTTCTTTCACTAGGTGTTATGTACGCAGTACATACCCAGGCCCCTAGATCGGTTGTGGGGCACGCTGAAAAATCAGAGTCGTCACAAGCACCCTACACGTCACTGGAACCGCACGCGCGACAACCATTCCGTCACCCCCCGGATATAAGCGCCACCCTGGGATAAGCGCCAGGCGCTTGTAATTGGCATATGGCGCTTATATCCGCTCTCAATTATACCGTAAGCCCCCGGATAGAAGCGCAGGCCTCGGATAAGCGCCGGCGCTTATAAAAGGATGAGGGCGCTTATATCCGCTCCTCGATTATAAGCGCACCCTTAGAGCCTTACGGATTATAAGCGCACCCCTAGTACCGTACACATTATAAGCGCCACCACTTTAATACTAGCATTTTCATTTTTTGACTATTACAATTGCTATCCTACTGCTATTCTACAATTTGTCAAGTTCCTGATTACATCTTCGCATTTTCTGCATTTTCTACCACATTTTCAAATCCTCCACATTTCTACTCTACCTACACAACCTAGGCATCCTCGTCAGCAGTGGCGGTGCCTTCCTGGGCGGTCTCACCGTCCGACTCTGGCTCGTCTACGTTGTTGCAGCAGAATCCATCTGCTGCAATCTCGTCATCAAGATCCACTTCGCCCTTGACGGCGTCCCGCCGGTGCTGCAGGCAGAGACTGTCCTGAGACCCGTCCAAGGCGTTACTGATGCCGCAGGTCAGAAACGAGCGCTCAATCAACTCCTTGGGCACCGACTTCCAAGCCTTGGAGATCCACTTGAGCGTCAGCTCTGCTGGTGGCTTGCGGATGTTGCCTGCCACACGTAGAGGGATTCATCAGTTAGAACAGGGTCAAAAACTGAAAAACAATCAGGCCTAGAAATTAAATCTCACCTCTTTCAGTCAGGCAGTCAACACCCTCGCTCTCGAACCATTCCTGGTACTGTTGTCGCACAGCTGCTTTGAAGGAGCGGTTCACCGCGATGTCCAGGGGCTGCACCTCCGATGTGCAGCCAGCGGGTATGACGGCCGGCACGATACGCAGCTCGCCGAATTTCGCCCTCACTTGATCAGTCAGGTGCCCGCGGTAGGAGTCAAGCACCAGCATCGCCCTCCTGCTGCGCACTCCGAACCTCGGGTTGACGTACGGGCCCACCGTACCGTCGAGCCACGCGAGGACGCCGTCCGCGTCCATCCAACCGTTGGGATGTGCGGCGACCACGGCATCTGCACATCCGCACAACGTTGAGATTGACATCAGTAGAAAAAAAAACAACACATGCAAATACTACCGGGACTGCACAAGCTGCTCGGCTTACCGGAGGGGAAATTCCCCTTTGGAACTGTCTTGCGCTTAAAGAACACCCAAGGCTTGAGCTTCTCGCCGCTGGCGGTGCAGGCGAGCATCATCGTCACGCATTCCTTTTGATAGCCGCCGCTGCGGATGGGCACGGAGCGGACCCCCACCTCCTCGACCGTGCGTTCAGCTGGCATTTCGAGCCAGAGCTGGGTCTGATCCGCATTAATGATCCAGCGGTTGTCGATGCCGTACTGTCGGCGGGTGTGTCGCACGAACTTCCAGAAGTTCCGCACCTGCGTCTCGCACTCTGGAAGGGACGGGGAGGCAGAAACCATAAAAAAAACATTAGCACATCGAACGGTTGGCAAAAGAGATAAACAAGAGCGAAGACAACAACACCGACTCACCGGAGGATAGTTTCTGGCCGACACGAGTCTTCGCTTGGGTAGTGAGATTCCAGCGGCGCCGAAAACGCTCGGTCCACCTCTGAGATCCCGCCCACTTTACCTCAGGATGCAGGCTCTTCATCACCTCTCGCGACCACTGCTGCAGGCGGCCGACCGACACTGCGAGGCACTTTTTTCGGGCGGCAAGTACTCGTGAGTAGACCTGGATCTCCATGTCGCGGTACCACGACGACCGACCACGCCCGTGAAGACGCTTGCGAGCCCCATGCGCGCCCTCCAGCTCACCCTTCCGCGATTTCCATTCTGCCAGGGACTTTCGGAAGATACCAGTGTCGCGCGCCATCTTCCGCACACTCACAGCACCGGACTCCAGCTGTGAAATCCAGTGCAACTTCTCCTGAGAAGTATAGGAGTGCCGCTTGTGCCTTGAGCGCCTGCTCCTGGGAGACGGGGGGCGGGCATCACGATTCTGGGTGAAGGGGTGGGGCCTTTTTTTATTGGGCGGGGGAAAACTTGGGACAGGCAAGTCCTCGGGAAGACCGTCGGCCACCCACCACTCAACGTCGTCTTCGGCACCGGTGGCGGATTCGTCGTGCGGGCAATCTTCCGGGTCTCCCCAACGTGGTGAAAGACCGGGACCGGTTTCATCTTCGTCGCTGCGCTCGGGCTCGTGCTCCGGCTCGGAGATGTACGCATCGAAAGCAGAGTAGTCACGAGGGAGAAGCTGCAGAACGGGCACACCGTTGATGACGACGTTAGGCGGAGCGGGAGGAGTAGGAGGCGCTGGAGGTGCAGGAGGCACAGGAGGAGCTGGAGGCGCAGGAGGAGCAGGAGGTATTGGCGCTGGGCGACTCTGCCACTGGGAGTAATCGGGAGCTTTGTCAGCAGCACCTCGGCGCCTAAAGAGGAAATGGGTGCCTGGTAGGCCCACCATGGCTAAGGCAGGCCGATGGGAAACAAGAAATCTGAAAAAAACGATGAGAATGACGCCTGTTTGAAACCCTCGCCCGAGACCCCTCCAACTTCGCGGCCCGGGTTCCTCTGCAGGCTAAGGGGAGAAACAGTCAAGATCTCCCCGCAGAGGAGCTGATGTGGTGAGGTCCAAGCGTTGTTGGCAAGGAATCTTGCCGCATATGCCCCGTTTGTGGTTGTACTGCGTCGTGGCTAGCACGGCAGTCGGCCCTGATTGGGCAGTCGCACACTAAACTGCGTGTGCGCTGGCATGGGCCAGATTCGGTACGATGAATCTGGCCAGGCGAGCAAGGCGTGGCGGGCGTGATTCCACGCCTTGTTGGCAATTTGACGCGCGTTTCATGCACAAACTCGAACGTTCTAGATGTGGATTGAATCCCCGTTTGAAAAAGCTTCAAATACATGTAAAAAAAAACCATTTCAATTTTGCCATTTTATAGACGCCGGCGCTTATAAAAATCCTCAATTATAAGCGCACCCCCTAAAAAACAGTGTTTTATTATAACCCCAGGGGCACTACTATCCGGGGGCTGACGGTAAGCGCATCCCCTGAAAAAAACTTGTTTTATTATAAGCGCATGTAAACTATATTTTTTGAAATTGGTTCAAAACACTGTAACGATTTTTACTTTAGCAGGCGGATGTGTTGCAAATTCGGTTCGCTTCACATTAGAACCCTGCACTGAATGCGAGTCCAGTCAGCAGGAGATGTCAGAGGCACCTTGTGAGTCATATCGAGTGTATCTCCCAGCGCGCGCGAGAGTTTCACTGAAGACCCCATGTAACTTCGACTCGATTGAAAAGGCAAGCACGAGATCTACAGTTTGGTGTTAGAAAATATTAAATATATATATGTGTCATTTTATAAGCGCCTGCGCTTATAAATTTGACTCAATTATAAGCCCACCCCCTTAAAAACCCCTGTTTTATTATACCCCCCCATGGGGGCTTATCCGGGGGGTGACAGTATAAGAAATAGTCAACGGACTCGACCCGGTACGTGGCGTTCCATCCGCCGCGGTACCAATCACGCAGCCTCCCTTCATCCCCGTCTTACCCTGGCCCCCCCTCCCTCCCGTCACACACGTCGCTTACATCCCTCCGGTCGCTCTCGTAGCCAGCTCCCGCTCCCCCCTCGCTCCCGCTCCTCCCGTTGCCCCCGCTCCTCCCGTCGCCCCCGCTCCTCCCGTCACTCCCGCTCCTCATGTCCCTCTCGTCCCTCATCCCATTGGCTCCCGTTCCTCTTCCCGTTGCTCCCGTCCCTCCCGTCCCTTCCGTCCCTCCCGTCCCTCCCGTCGCTTCCGTCCCTCCCATCCCTCCCATCGCTTCCGTCCCTCCCGTCCCTCCTGTCCCTTCCGTCCCTCCAGTCCCTCCCGTCGCTTCCGTCCCTCCCGTCACCCACGTCGCACCCGTCGCTCTCTTCCCTTCGGTCCCTCTCGTCCCTCTGGGCCTCTCGCATTCCTTCCCTCTTCGCCTCTCCCCTTTCCCTACACTGTTCTACCCTCCGCGCTGCGTCCCCGTTCCCTGTGCGCGGTTCCCCCCTTTCCCTACCCGCAGCTTCCCCACTTCCCTACGCGCAGCTTCAACCCTCCCCTGCGCGGAGTTTCCCCCCCTTCCCTACAAGCGGCTTCAACCCTTCCCTAGGCACAGTTTCCCCGCTTTCCTACGTGCAGTTTCCACCTTTCCTAAGCACCGTTTTCACTCTGCCCTACGCACAGCTTCCACCCTTCTCACTCCACGCCTCTCCCTTCCCATCCCGCATTTTCAATCCCCGAGCAGAAGCAAGAGGCCACAAGGCCAGTTCACATGCAGTGTTATAATAACAAAAGCAACAGAATTATCACAACCTAGCAAGTGTAAACATGCAGGTATAAATATATTTAGCAAAATACAGCAAGTCCAAGACAAGCTCAAGAGGTAGGCAAGTGAGGAAGAGGAGGCACTAGGCCAAGAGTAGTACAGAAACGTGGATGATCATCAGACCCAAGGGTTTTGGAGAAAATATCAGCGGTGTTGGCTTGAGAGGCCACGTAAGATAGCGAAGCTGACCACGCTGTTGTAACTCTCGCACAAGAAAGTATCAAAGCGCAATATGCTTTGTTCTTTGCTCTAGTCTCTGCTTCCGACACAAGGTTATCATGGCCTTGTTGTCGACGTACAGAACTGGAGGAGAACGAGGCCGCTCACCCAAGTCCGTGAGCATGTAGGTTAGCCAGCGTAACTCCTGCGCAGCCATAGCCCCAGCGTAGATCTTGGCCTCACGGCTGGAGCCAAGCAGAAAAGACGAGCGAGTGCACCTCCACGAGACAGTGCCAGTTGTCAAGCTATATTTGTTATAGCTTATATTTGTTAGTCTAGGTGTATATTCTTGACCTAGGGTTAGGTTAGGGTTCACGGATATATCTTGCCGTATGTTTCATTCCATGGTTAATTTTTACATTGTGACATGGTATAGAGCTAGGTTGACCCTAGCGAGATTTTCCCCTTAGGATAAATCACTCGACTAAGTTATGGGCCCACCTAGTCGCGCCCCGTCCTAGACCGCCAGTAGCGTGCTTACTTTAGGCCCCATCGCCCGTAGACCCCCCCCCCCCCCCCCCCCCCCCCCGTCGCCCGTAGACACCCCGCCCCCGTCGCCCGTCGACCGTTTCCCCCCGTCGATCGCTGCACGTTTTTTTTTTTTTTTTTTTTTTTCCTGGCACCCATCACCTGTCGCGGCTGTAAGTTAACGGGCCCCGAGGCCTTTCGTTAGCGGGCCCCGCGGCCTTTCGTTCGTGGGCCCCGAGGCCCCTTCGTTAGCGGGCCCTGCGGCCCCGTCGTTAGTCGCACGCACGCACAGCAGCAGCCGCGCGCACGAGCGGACCTGTCGCCCCACCCGTCGTGAATGCCGCCCTACCCGTTAGACGCGGCTCCACCCGCTGCCTTACATAAGATTGACCTAGGGCTACAGCTTGCTGCTTCGTTGTTTGTTTTTTGCATGTTGATAATTAATCCTGTTAACCCAAACACAGGCGTTCATTTGACGGAAGCCAAGTTGTCAGTAGCTCATGAATTAGTGAGTTTTTGGACAAACAACCAAGAAATAGCTAGGGCTGCGCCGGGACGAGGTGCGGATGGAGCTAAGATCTGGCAACCTTTATAAAACCGCGGTAGAAGGTGCACCGATGGCCACTCCAAAATGGAGGGCCGGGGAAGTCGGAGGAGCGGAAGGCGGAACACAAACTCCGGCGCAAGGGAACGCACTAACCAGGGAGCGGATTGGAGCCACGACATGAGTGACCTGCCTAGCAGAGGCAGTGGCGTGCGAGGCGAGGCCGCTGGACAACCCCTCACGGAGACAACGAAGAAGCGGGCGCGGCGGAGACTGAACTGCTGGAGCAAACGCGAAGGCTGTCCATGTCAGAGCATCATCACACAGAGGTCACGCATCCTTCCATCCGATACGCGGGCACCCGGGGAGCCGGGAGCTCGCTGAGAAATTACATGATGCAGATCCGGAATGGGCTGTATCGTTGGATGAAAGATGGACTCGAGGCCGAAGATTTCTTATGTGGGCTATCTGATACGGTGACGAAAGAAGCGGAAACGGCATACGGATTGGAGCTAGAGCGCCTGCTCAGCGAGACGGGACAGGCGAGATGGAAAGGGGTGAAGCGCAGACAGATGATCGCAGGAGGCCGACGGCGCCACCAGGGGAGCATGTCTTCAAGAGGGAAGAAAAGGAAGCAAAGACACGTACGTGCCACCACTGCGGACAGGAGGGGAATCTGAAGAGGGACTAGACCAGGCCCTCACATGCGATCAGTGCAAGAATGAGGGACACCTGCGTCGAGATTGCCCTGAAGTGCCGGTCTGCGAGAATTTCAACCGACATCAAACGCACTGAGGCTACAGCCGCAGGCCAGGCTCCGCGGGGCCCAGGAGCAAGGAGTTGGAGATTCAGATGCGTCGGCTGCAGGCTAAGATACGAAAACTGGAAGGCAATGCCCGCAAGGAGGCGGCGATGCTGGCAAAGGACGAAGACGACATCGACGGGAGCGAGGCAGAGTTTGTGCTCATGGTGTGCCCACCAAGGCAAAGGGACGAGATCGAGCTCAATAGAGATCGGCGAGGTGGGCCAGAACCTCAGGCGAGAGGCGTTCGAATCTTCAGGGGTTATGCGGCGTAGGCAGAGCAGAAATTACGGCGGAACGGCATCCCAAGCAGCAGATGGTGTGCCAGCCCTCCGTGCTGACCATAGAGAAGGGAGGAATAACGGTGGGATGAGTGGTGGTGGCGTAGGCGATCATTAACACCGAAGCACACCACAACCTGCTGGGAAAAGGGCTGGTTTAAAAGCTGGAGTTGGATCTTCCGAATCGGCTCTATGAGCGCAGCATTCTGGTCATGACCGCGGAAGGTGGCGATCTGAAGTGGATGCCAAGCACCAGGCAACCCGTAGACGTGATCCTGCTCCAAGGAACCAAGGATGAGTGCAGAGTACGCGTGCGGTGCGGCGTGACGCCGTCGAAAGATTACGACCTGCTCATAGGGATGGACCTCAAATACCGCATCGGAGCCACGATATGCACCTGGCAAGAGAAGGTGCTGTACCGAGCCCAGTACTGGAGAAATAACAGCCCCGTGGGCACTTTGTGAAGCGAGAGCCACGGGAGGCCTTTCAAGCCAGGCTGGCTGAGATTAGTGAACAGTTGGAAGACTGGACTTGGAAACAGTACCTGTTAGAAAGGGAGACTAGGAGGGCAGAGGAAGAGAGGGGACCGTGCCCTGACGAACCTGGGCCAACTACAGGAGCCTCTAACAATAGTGGAGCTCTTCGGCGGCATCCGGGAAGTCTCGCCGGAAGTCGTGGAGCAATGGGGGCGAGTGGACCTGCTGGTGGCAGGGTGGGAGTGCCAGGGTGTCTCCCGCACAGAGAAAGGGAAGGGGCTGGAAGACCCGAGATCCATGCTATTATGGGAGCTTTTGCGCGTCATGAAGCTCGTGTACCAACTGCTCAGGGAGTACCTCTACATACTGGAGAATCCATACTTCTCCACGGATTGCAGGAAGTCAGTGAGGAAGATCTTGGAGGTCACAGCCGCAGAGTTGGGGGCAGGAGTCGCACTTGATGTGGTGCAGCAAGGATCCTACTCTCACCGAGTGCACTGCTACTAACAGAACGGCATCCTCGAAGGGCAAGCTTAGGAGCGAACTCATCTAGACAAAGATGCCGGCACCGCGCCTCATGGAAGATCACCTGGAGCCACATCGTACGCCCGCGCAGGTGCTGAAGCCACCACCCAAGGCAGTTTCAGTGCAATAAGCCAGCCATGCCAAGGGAAGCCTGGCCCACCCTGGCACAACGCCCACAGATTGATTTGGAGCGAGGAATTCCCGGGGCCTAGCATGGTCTATGACCACGTGTAGGGAAAGTGGGAGGAGACCAGAAGGAAAGAGAGGGAGCTGGGATTCCTCCCTGGTGCCACTGCCGCACCAGGGTTAAGGAGAGAGTGCGAAGGGAGGCCGTGGTCAGAACATGGACGTGGAGTCCATGCACTGGCTCATCCATGTCATACAGATGCACCTGGCGAGGAAGCTACAGTCTAGTGCTACAACATATCTGAAATTCGTAAAGTTTCAACGGTGCGTTTTTCATCGACGGCATTTCTTGTGACGACGACTTTTCTGTCTAGAATTATCGTCAACGATTCTGAGATATTTTGGCCCATAATCTTCATAGGCTCCGTCCTTAGTCTCTAACAACTCAGCAACATAGTCAACGTAGCTAGCTTCAGCAACTCCTGGGCGGTGTCACGAGTGTTGGCGAGGTAGGCGAGGCAGCGGTCGACCTCGCGCCAGTACTGGTCGCTCCTCACCGTGAGACCGCTCCCCAGCTTGCTGCAAGCGAACGTGATGTGTGGCCTCGTCGTCATTCGCCGCAAAATGCAGCGAGCCGACCTTCTGCCGATACTCCTCCTCCTCACACACCTGAGCCTCCTCGAACGTCAGCTCGGCGTAGGCGTGGAATGAGACCGGCGTCTTGGGGTTGCGCCCGGTCTGCTCTTCGTTGGTGAACCGCCTGCGCAGCTTGTCGGCGTAGTTCTGCTAGTGCAGCCCCAACTTCCTTGCCGGCCTGTCTCGCACGATCTCCAGCACGAGATACTTCTCCACCGGCGAGATCTCGCCCAGCTCGAAGGCGGCCTGCTCCTTCAGCTCCTTCAGCATCACGGTGCTGCTGCTAGCGGCGAGCAGGTAGTCGATGTAGACCAGCACCCAGCAGGTCACTCCATCGGCGCCAAACTTGAAATAGAGCGCCTGGTCGACCTGGCTCTTCTTCCAGCCAGCGCCACCAGCACGTCGTTGAGCGCCTTGTACCACAGCAGCGGCGACTGCTTCAGCCTGTACACACTCTTCAGCAGCTTGCACACCCGGCTGGTCCGTCATTGAAGTAGTCCGGCTGGTACATGTACAGCACCCTGTCGAGCTTGCTCTGCAAGAAGGCGTTCTTCATGTCGAGCTGCATCCGGTTGAGGTCGAGGACCGCGACGATGCTGAGGAATATCCTCAGCGGGACGTAGCTGCTCACCGGTGCGTACGTCTCGTCGTAGTCGGCGCCATACACCTGCGTGAAGCCCTTCACGACGAGCCTCGCCTTTTCCCGG